TCGAAAATCTTTAATTTTCACAAATTTTTCCAGCATGTCCGATATAAACGAAATGGGGAGGAACCACGAAAATCGGCCGATGCCATTGTCTCACTAACAGTGCGAAAATCAGCCGATGCCATTGTCCCACTAAAGAGTGCGAAATCGACCGATGCCATTGCATCACTAACATGCGGCCGATGCCATTGCCCCACTAACAGAGCGAAAATCGCCCGATGCCATTGTCCCACTAACAGTGCGAAAATCAGCCGATGCCATTGCCCTACTAACATTGCGAAAATCGGCCGATGCCATCGCCCCACTAACAGTGCGAAAATCGGCCGATGCCATCACCATTGTCCCACTAACAGTGCGAAAATCGGCCGATGCCATTGCCCCCACTAACAGAGCGAAAATCGGCCGATGCCATTGCCCCACTAACAGTGCGAAAATCGGCCGATGCCATTGCCCCACTAACAGAGCGAAAATCGCCCGATGCCATCGCCCACTAACAGAGCGAAAATCGGCCGATGCCATTGCCCCACTAACAGAGCGAAACCCCACTAACAGCGAAAATCGCCCGATGCCATTGCCCCACTAACAGTGCAAAAATCGGCCGATGCCATTGCCCCACTAACATTGCGAAAATCAGCCGATGCCATTGCCCCACTAACAGTGCGAAAATCGCCGATGCCATTGCCCCACTAACAGAGCGAAAATCGGCCGATGCCATCGCCCCACTAACAGAGCGAAAATCGGCCGATGCCATCGCCCCACTAACATACGAAAATCGGCCGATGCCATTGCCCCACTAACAGAGCGAAAATCGGCTGATGCCATTGCCCCACTAACAGTACGAAAATCGGCCGATGCCATTGCCCCACTAACAGAGCGAAAATAGGCCGATTATTCTTAGGTCCGATTTTCTTACGAAAATCGTTCGGATTTGGAACCATGTGTGGCCTGCATTATCAGGAACTCAGCACTGAGATGTGAATTATTCGGGCGAGTCCTCATCTGCCTCTTGTACTGATCACAATGACATACTTTAACAAAAGTGTCGGAAAAAGAATGTTGTGCCAAGTGGGCCGGCCGGGAAGGTTGTCATTCATGTCATGGTACAGCACAGCCTGTGCGAGCCAATAAATTCCCCGCATGGTGACCGGGTGCGCCAGGAACACCCGGGGCGGAGTCCTCCGTCACGTGAAATGACAACTGATTTCCATTCGATTCATACGATGAGATAAACAATATCACATGATATGGGGGGGGGGGGTGACCGTTCTCACCTCTACCCATTCCTTCATTTGTCTATTATGTCTTTTTTGCTGCATATGAGCGGTCTGTGTCTTTGTGGCAAATTTTATTTTCTAGTATTTTTTTTTGAAATACCGCCCCCCCCCCCACCAAAGGGTTCAGAGTTGTTGAATTTGCATTTCTATTATATCTTATATACAAATAGAACCAAATTGTTTAAGTAGAACAACAGGCAAAGCTTTTTTTTTTAATTTTGGATAGTGTCAGTTTTTTTATTTTGGGCCATCTGTGTCCCCATTGTGGACATTTTCCCTTCACTTCCTGTCCCATAGACAAAACAGGAAATCACCTGCAAATTAAGAGAATTCCTTGGGAACCCCCCCCCCCCAGGTTACCACAACTGGAATTGGAAGATTACTTTTCTGGGGACAACCCAACATTTGGGGTTTCTTTTAATTTCACTTTTGGTAAATAGGACAAATAGAGAGGGTGAATCTCCGTAATAGGTGCACAGACAGCAATAAAAAACTGACGGGGGATCTAATCCATCTCCACTCTGTCCAACAACTGAAGAAAAAGTTTTAAAATAGATAAATAAGTGCAGCGCTAAAAAATTCTGAGTATGAAATATCTGTCTGTAAATATATAAAAATAGTAAATCAATCGGAAAGTGAGAGTCTGTGCAGGTCTAAGTGCGGAATGACAGCAAAATCCGGTATTGGTGCTCCAAATAGTGTGGTTAAATTACGCACTCACCAGATGCGTAATGTATATACAGTCATGGCGACCGAAATCGGTTAGGCACCTTGGATGGATTTGATCCTGAAAAATCATGATATTTCACACCAAAAAGGCCATTGCTTAACACATGTTCTGCTATACACTGGGGGTATTCGACCCCTTTGTATGTATCGAACAAATATAAAACAGAGGCAGAAAAGCAAAATATGAATAATGTCACACACAAACCCCAAAAATGGGTGGACCTAAAAGTATTGGCCACCCTTAACAATATTTGGTTGCACACCCTTTGGAAAACAAAACCGAAATCAGCGCCTCCTATAACCATCAATTGGCAGCTTCTGACACTGTGCTCACCGGCGGCAACAGGCGGCCACTCTCACCTTTGCAAACAGCTCCGGTCTCTCTTATTGGAAGGAGGAACCTTTTCCCAATCAGCAATTTTAAGATCTCTCCACAGGAACTGTAGGGAACTGGGATTTAGATCTGGGCCAGCTCAATGGCACTTCAGAACGAGCCAGCGCTGGAGCCATCCATGGAGAGTGAGAGTGCTTTTTGACGTATGTTTTGGGGTCATTGTCCTGCTGGCTGACCCCGGATCTTGGACGCTAACCCCAGCTTTCTGACACTGGGGAATACAGTGCTGACCCACAGGATCCTTTGGTAATCCTACAGATTTTCTTGATGCCCTTGACACACAGTCAAGGCACCCAGTGCCAGAGGCAGCAAAACAACCCAAACACCATTGAACCTCCACCATTGATTTTACCCGTAGGTACTGTGTTTTTGTTCTTTGTAGGCCATCATTCCGTTTTCCATCTGGGGTAAACATGGGAAGAATGATGTGCTTTGACCTTACCGAAAAGCTCTATCTTACCAACATCATCTGACCACAATTTCTTTGATACCAATGAAGGGGCACTTTTCCCTTACCCAAGATACATATTTGACAAACTGATAGGGCACTTTTTTATTCTCCCCCACTGACACCAGCAGATGGGGTCACTGGGGTCTCCCCACTAGCGTTTCCATTTGGGGGCACTATTCCCCACTGTCGACGGATAGATGGGACACTATTCCTCCCTGAGCCTGCAAGGACACTTGAATGTCTTTGAACATGTTTTGGGGCACTTATCCACCAAGTCACTGACACCAATTCTGCGTTGCAATCTTTCATCAATTTTCCTCCTCCAAAGGTCCACGACCAGGGGATTAGCTGACAGTGCCATGGGTATTGCCCAAACTTCTCTTGATAATGTTGCGCACTGTGGACAAAGGCCCCAAATCTTGTTCTCTGGAGATGGACTTGTAACCTTGATATTTTTGATATTTTGCCACAATTGACACCAATGGTTCTCAGGTCCTTTAGAACAGCTTGTTAACACTGACTTTCTAGTTGTCCAATCTTCAGTGGGCACTGACAGACACACAAGACCTGAAAGGTTTGAATGTCGAACTGGTCTCTCCTTTTTATGGGGTGGCTGCTTTCAGGTGTGATTGTCAGGATACTGCCCGTCACCTGGACTACTTGCCCACTGACACAACAGGAGCATCTCATGCTTGTCACGTCACTTGCTTCACCAACGATTGGGGCACTTTATGAACCACTGCCATCATACCACACGTCCAGGCCTGCATTTTTGGGGTTTTGTGACCCCCATTACTGTCGAACTTGCAAACGGGACCTCAGGCCACTATTTTTTTTGTTTCCCCATACACATCATATGGGGCACTACTGATGTGTATTCTGAGCAAAACATTGCAGTTAAATGCAATACGTTTCGTGAGAACGAAAATATCCGATTTGTCTCCTGGAGAAATCAGTCAAGGGTGTCACCAAACAATTCGGCCTTTTGCTGAGATTCATTTCCACTGATATAAATCAGTGGAGGCCCCCCTTTAGGAGGACCCTGGATCACTTATCCTGGTCCAGGATGAGAACCTGCATCTAGGCAAAGGTGGGATGCTGTCAAGGGACCACTGCTCACAGGGAGGTAAATGATCGAGCTGGCCAGAGGGGTCCCTTTAAGGTATGGGTGGGTGTAGATGGACCTGTTGTCAGGAACTCTCCCTTCTCTGGATACTGCAGAGGGGCCCCTGGATCAGGGGGGAGCGCTCCATAATTGCTCAGTATATGCTGCCCGGATTTGCATTCTTTTCATTGCTCACACGTTGAAGCATCACACCGTCTCTAGTCCTTTTCACTGATAATTGTACATTGACTTCGTATAAAACTTGGCAGCGACTCAGGCCAGGTTTTAGAATCCAAGCCACACTCTCAATCATTGCAGGGGGATACTCTAGGACCCTGATGTGCCATAGAGCCGCTGGACTGCCTTGCTTGTTCTGCAGCGCCGTACAATTCTATTGTAGACATGATGTATGTGATACTGTCAGTAAGACTGTCCAATCCCGCCTGCTGAGTTCAATGGGAATGTCTGATCTCCCCGGACCTGCATTCACTTTATCCACTCTCCCCGGACCCTGCATTCACTATATCCGATCTCCCCGGGACCCTGCATTCACTATATCACGGCGTCTCCCACGGACCCTGCACATTCACTATATCCGCTCTCCTGGACCCTGCATTCACTATATCTGGGTCTCCCCGGACCCTTGCATTCACTATTATCTGGTCTCTTGGAGACCCTGCATTCACTATATCCGGTCTCCCCGGACCCTGCATTCACTTATATCTACGGTCTCCCAGGACCCTGCATTCACTATATCCGCTCTCCCCTGGACCCTGCATTCACTATATCTGGTCTCCCCAGACCCTGCATTCACTATATCTGGTCTCCTCGGACCCTTCATTCACTATATCCTGGTCTCCCTCGGACCCTGCATTCAACTATATCCGGTCTCTCCAGGACCCTTTGCATTCACTATATCTGGTTCCCCCTGGACCCTGCATTCACTATATCCGCTCTCCCTGGACCCTTCATTCACTATATCCAGTCTCCCCGGACCCTGCATTCACTTATATCTGGTCTCCCAGGGGACCCTGCATTCACTATATCCGGTCTCCCCGGACCCCTGCATTCACTATATCCGGTCTCCCCGGACCCTGCATTCACTATATCCGCTCTCCCGGACCCTGCATTCACTATATCTGGTCTCCCGGATCCTGCATTCACTATATCTGGTCTCCCCGGACCCTGCATTCACTATATCCCGGTCTCCATCCAGGACCCCTTCATTCACTATATATGGTCTCCCAGGACCCCGCATTCACTATTATCACGGTCTCCCCAGGACCCCTTCATTCACTATATCAGGTCTCCCGGGACCCTTCATTCACTATATCCGGTCTCCCCGGGACCCTGCATTCACTATATCGGCTCTCCCCAGGACCCTGCATTCACTATATCACGGTCTCCCAGGACCTGCATTCACTATATCCGTTCTCCCCGGACCCTGCATTCACTATATCAGCTCTCCCCCGGACCCTGCATTCACTATATCCGGTCTCCCAGGACCCTGCATTCACTATATCTGATCTCCCCGGACCCTGCATTCACTATATCCAGGTCTCCCCGGACCCTGCATTCACTATATCTTGGTCTCCCAGGTACCTGCATTTCACTATATCCGCTCTCCCCGGACCCTGCATTCACTATATCACGGTCTCCCCAGGACCCTGCATTCACTATATCTGGTCTCCCCAGGACCCTGCATTCACTATATCTGGTCTCCCCGGACCTGCATTCACTATATCTGGTCTCCCTGGACCCTGCATTCACTATATCCGCTCCCAGACCCTTCATTCACTATATCCGGTATCCCTCGGACCCTGCATTCACTATATCCGGTCTCCCCGGACCCTGCATTCACTATATCAGCTCTCCCGGACCCTGCATTCACTATATTCTGGCTCTCCCCGGACCCTGCATTCACTATATCTGATCTCCCCGGACCCTGCATTCACTATATCTGGTCTCCCCGGACCCTGCATTCACTATATCTGATCTCCCCGGACCCTGCATTCACTATATCTGCGCTCAAATTAAGGGAATTCCTTGGGGACCCCCCCCCCTCCCCAGGTCACCAGAACTAATGTCCCCATTGGAAGATTACTTTTCTGGGGACAACCCAACATTTGGGGTTTCTTTTACTTTCACTTTTGGTAAATAGTACAAATAGAGAGGGTGAATCTCCGTAATAGGTGCACAGACAGCAATAAAAACTGACGGGGGTTCTAATCCATCTCCACTCTGTCCAACAACTAAAAGAAAAAGTTTTAAAATAGATAAATAAGTGCAGCGCTAAAAATTCTGAGTATGAAATATCTGTCTGTAAATATATAAAAAAATAGTAAATCAATCGGAAAGTGAGAGTCTGTGGAGGTCTAAGTGCGGAATGACAGCAAAATCCGGTATTGGTGCTCCAAATAGTGTGGTTAAATTACGCACTCACCAGATGCGTAATGTATATATGCATTGAATAAATCGGTAGAGGCCCCCTTTAGGAGTTGGATCTGATCCTGGTCAAGGATAATCCTCCCTCTAGGCAAAGGTGGTGCTGTCAGGAGCTCACAGGAGGTAAATGATCGAGCTGGCCAGAGGTCCCTTTAAGAGATGGGTGGGTGTAGATGCCTGTTGTCAGGAACTCCCTTCTCTGGATACTGCAGAGGGCTGGATCAGGGGGGCGCTCATAATTGCTCAGTAATGCTGCATTTGCATCTTTTCATTTCTTCACACGTTGAAGCCATCACACCGTCTCTAGTCCTTTACTGATAATTGTACATTGACATCGTTATAAAACTTGGCAGCGACTCAGGCCAGGTTAGAATCCAAGCCCACAATCATTGCAGGCGGGAACTCTCCTGATGTGCCATAGAGCCGCTGGCTGCTTGTTCAGCTCCGTACAATTCTATTGTAGAATGATGTGTATGTGACGTCAGTAAGCCTGTCCAATCCCCGCCTGCTGAGTTCAATGGAATGCCTGATCTCCCCGGACACTGCATTCACTATATCCACTCTCCACGGGCCCTGCATTCACTATATCCGCTCTCTCTGGACCCTGCATTCACTATATCTGGTCTCCCCAGACCCTGCATTCACTATATCCGCTCTCTCTGGACCCTGCATTCAATATATCTGGTCTCCCCGGACCCTGCATTCACTATATCCACTCTCCACGGGCCCTGCATTCAATATATCTGGTCTCCCCGGACCCTGCATTCACTATATCTGCTCTCCACAGGCCCTGCATTCAATATATCTGGTCTCCCCGGACCCTGCATTCACTATATCCGCTCTCCACAGGCCCTGCATTCAATATATCTGGTCTCCCCGGACCCTGCATTCACTACATCCGGTCTTCCCCAGACCCTGCATTCACTATATCTGGTCTCCCCGTACCCTGCATTCACTACATCTGGTCTTCCCGGGACCCTGCATCCTCTATATCTGGTGTCCCAGGACCCTGCATTCACTATATCTGGTCTCCCTGGACCCTGCATTCACTATATCCGCTCTACCTGGACCCTGCATTCACTATATCCGCTCTACCTGGACCCAGCATTCACTATATCTAGTCTCCCTGGACCTTGCATTCACTATATCTGGTCTCCCCAGACCCTGCATTCACTATATCTGGTCTCCCCAGACCCTGCATTCACTATATCTGGTCTCCCCAGACCCTGCATTCACTATATCTGGTCTCCCCGGAGCCTTCATTCACTATATCTGGTCTCCCTGGACCCTTCATTCACTATATCCGGTCTCCCCCGGACCCTTCATTCACTATATCCAGTCTCCCCGGACCCTTCATTCACTATATCCGGTCTCCCAGGACCCTGCATTCACTATATCTAGTCTCCCCGGACCTTGCATTCACTATATCTAGTCTCGCCGGACCTTGCATTCACTATATCTGGTCTCCCCAGACCCTGCATTCACTATATCTGGTCTCCCCAGACCCTGTATTCACTATATCTGGTCTCCCGGAGCCTTCATTCACTATATCTGGTCTCCCTGGACCCTTCATTCACTATATCCGGTCTCCCCGGACCCTTCATTCACTATATCCGGTCTCCCCGGACCCTTCATTCACTATATCCGGTCTCCCAGGACCCTGCATTCACTATATCCGCTCTCCCCGGACCCTGCATTCACTATATCCGCTTTCCCTGGACCCTGCATTCACTAAATCAGCTCTCCCTGGACTCTGCAATCACTCGATCTGGTCTCCCCGGACCCTGCATTCACTATATCTGATCTCCCCGGACCCCGCATTCACTATATGTGGTCTCCCAGGACCCTGCATTCACTATATCTGGTCCCCCAGGACCCTTCATTCACTATATCTGGTCTCCCTGGATCCTGCATTCACTATATCCGCTCTACCTGGACCCTGCATTCACTAGATCTAGTCTCCCCGGACCCTGCATTCACTATATCTGGTCTCCCAGGACCCTGCATTCACTATATCTGGTCTCCCAGGACCCTGCATTCACTATATCCGCTCTACCCGGACCCTGCATTCACTATATCTGGTCTCCCCGGACCCTGCATTCCCTATATCTGGTCTCCCCGGACCCTGCATTCCCTATATCTGGTCTCCCCGGACCCTGCATTCACTATATTTGAAGCCACATTCGATATACAGAGCCGCACGTATGTGAACCCAGGGTAAGGCTGCTTTCACACTGATCTGTTTTTCTCCCGCTTTTTCGTTAAAAAAAAAAACGGAAGTAAAATGTGTGACCATGTACTCCAATGGAACTTTTCACACTGATTCGTTGCGGGTCACGTGCGTTTTGCAAAGTCCTGTTTGCTGCATTTTTGGTGCGGTTAAAGAAATGCACTAAAAACACACATTCCCATTCAAATCAATGGAAAAGTACCTGCACCTGCAATTTTGGTGCAGTTTTTGAGTTACATGTGATTTAAAAAAAAAAACACCACAAACGTGGGAAAAACGCAGTAAAAACATATCAGTGTGAAAGTAGCATAAGCATCGGTTAGATGATATATATATATTACTTTTTTGGTGTTGGGTTCAAGGGCCAATTCACTCCACAAAAACGCACTCCAGATGCTCCAGATGGGTTTCTACATGCACGTTGTTACCACCTTTTTGATGTGTTCCAGTGTGTTTTTTATGCTTTTTGGGTGTGTTCCAGATGCTTTTTTCCTGTTTTTTTTTTCATTGTATTGGGGTCCAGTGCGTTTTTGATACGTTTTACTGCGTTCCAGTACAGTTCTGTGCCTTGAAAATGCAGGATGACCTACATTTTTTTCTGGAACTGGAACGCACTGGAACTGGAGCATTGGTGTGAACTAGGCCATCAAATTATTATTATTATTATTATTATACAGTGATCAGTGCTAAAAAAAAAAGCACTGACACTGTACTAATGACACTGGGTAGGAAGGGGTTAATGTGAGGGTTGATCAAAGGGTTAACTATGTGCTGGGAGTGTTTTACTAGGGGGCGTGGCAGGGGCGGACTGACCATTTGGAAACTCGGGCACTGCCCGAGGGCCCAGGGTCAGTAGGGGGCCCAATGAGATGCCCCTGGTACCTTTTTCATAGGCTTTTTTGAGTTTGGGCAAGGACACAGGGGCCCCATGATCCCCTATTGCCCGGGGGCCCCATGAGTTGTCAGTCCGCCCCTGGGCAGGGGTGATTCACTGTAAGCACACTGATTGGGATGGCTGTACTGTGCACAGCCATCCCGAGCAGTGTGCTTGAGTGGACAGGGAGGAAAACTGTGTGTAAATAAAACAATCTTCCTCCCCGTTGGAGATGCTCGGTAATCTCCGGGCGCCGGCAGGTAATTACTAGCCGGTACCTGGTGATTGACCAGCCACAAACGGCGGCGCGGGTAGGGCGCGCGTGCCACTCAGAAATGTAAAATATATACGTGATTCTGTGCACAGGTGCCACCCTGTAGCAGTATATCTGTTATAGGGCAGTCCTTAAGCGGTTAAAAAAAATCAAATTTTGTGATAAATTTAGGCCAAAATGTATTCTGCTCCATCTCTTGGCTAAAAAAAAATCCCAATACGTGTAAATTGGTTTACGTGAAATTTATAGCATTTACAAATGGCAGTATTTATACTGGAATTTTTTTTTTCATTTAATACTAGTAATGGCGGCGATCAGCAACTTATAGCAGGACTGCAGCGGGCATTCTGACACTGGGGGGGGGGGGGGGGGGGGGGCGTCACTGACATCCCCAGTGACACCAATACAGTGATCAGTGCTAATAAAAAGCACCGACACTGTACTAATGGCACTGGCCAGGAAGGGGTTAACATGTGGGGTGATCAAAGGGTTAACAGTGTGCATTTTACTAGGAAGGGATGCTGCTATTGCTGACAGAGCAATACAAAGGAGTCGGTAGAGAGATCTGTGTTGTTTAAATTACAGGTCTCTCTCCTGTCAGTGTTCCTCGGTGATCACTGGGTGCCGGCAGGGAATCTCCGGCCGGGACCTGGTGATCAACAACTGTAGCCGCCAATGGCGGTTCAGGTAGGGCGGCGCACACGCCCCCTACCCGAAAATGCGAAATCACGTATATATACACATGATTTTCCGCAGCCCTGCTGCCCTTTAGTAGTAGTTCTGCTATAGGGAGGAGGGGAAATGGTTATTGCTGGCCATACACATGTAGATTTTCGGACGAGAATATTCGTAAGAATAGTTGTACAAAAATTCTTTGAATATTCGATGAATGGACAAATTTTGTTCTAAAATTGTCTTATGCTTTTAACATTCGATTTTAAAATGAATGTAACTTCTGAGCAATCACCACATACACTGGTCAAAAATTCATTTGA